CTACTAGGAGCATTCTTACTACTAGTAGCAAGAAGCTACTAGGAGCAGGTGCATCGCTATTAGTAGCAAGCAGCTACTAGTAACAAGGGCTAGTAGTGGCTAGTAGCTATGGAGGCCATCGCTAGAAGGTTGGAGGCCATTGCACAACCGAACCAACCGTACGCACACCTCATCTCTCACACAGCCGGAACTGTGCGATTTGTAGCTGTTGCATCGTCATTCACATCTAAACCATGTGTTCTCATCACGATTCTCTAAACACCATGCACCTGTCACATATCTCGCAAACCCAAACACCTCCAACATGATTCCAACATGAACAAAATACAATGCGCGCCACAAAAAATGACAATTACACACCTTCGTAGTCAAAACAGAACTGCACCCTACAACACATCAAAATTGCAAACACCTGAGGCTTGTCGCGAAACAGCAACCGATGACACTCAATGCCTCCGAAACACAACCTCTTTACCAGAAACTCAAATCCCAATCACATCTCATGAAAGAATAATGCATATGTGCCACGTGTTCATGCTAGTTTGGAGGCCATCGCTAGTAGGTTGAAGGCCATTGCGTCCACCTCATCCATTCACGAACGTGCGACACCGCGTGAGTGAAGCTAGTAACAAAGGGCATCGCTACTAGGAGCAAGGACGCTACTAGTAACAAGTGCCACGCTAGTAGTAACAAGTGCCTTACTAGTAGTAACAAGAAGCTACTAGGAGCAAGAGGACGCTACTGGTAGCTCCTGGCATCACTACCAGCAGCATTCTTACTAGGAGCAAGGACGCTACTAGGGGCTCCTGGCCTGAGCTCATGGGTTCATCTCTTGGTTCGAAGTGTCCATGGCTCAGCAGCGTTTCTCCAGTGACGTCAACGATAAGCAACTCTGACGGCACTTGTTCATAGTAGCTTTTTGTTACTACTAGCGTGGCACCTGTTAATGACGATAAGAAACTGATGTGTCTTTTCACACATCTATACTGTCGGGCTAGTAGTGGTCAGGGCCAACGTATGTCTCTTCTTGTTCCCTAAATGGTCTGTTTGCGTCATCCAACGCGTCAACGTGTCCCCAGGATCGATTCTTTTCCATCAACGTGTGAGACTGCAAACGGCACGGCAGGACCAGGGAGCAAACGGATCGGTGGGGGAACACGCAACCTGCGTCCGACACGGGGTGCGTTTCCTGGAAGTTGACTTCGTCTGAAGAAAAAAGAACATCTAGAAAGGAACAAGTGCCACGCTAGTAGTAACAAGTGCCTTACTAGTAGTAACAAGAAGCTACTAGTATACTAGGTTGGAGGCCAAGAAGCGAACAGGTGCGCTGTGCGGTTTGGGGCTCACCGAAGGCTTTCGTGTGGGATCTTCCACCCAAATGAACTCGATCCACTCCTGGCACCAGCGGAGTGAAGCGGCATCCGATCGCTCCGTTCGTAGCGATGCCTACTAGCGAACCTTGTTACTACTAGTAAGGCACCTGTTACTACTAGCGATGCCCTTTGTTTGCTAGTAGCTACTAGGAGCTACTAGTAGAAATGCCAGGAGCTACTAGTAGCATCCTTGCTCCTTGGGTGGTTTTGGGGTCTTTTTTGCCGTGAAAGGAGAAGGAATGCTTCACAAAAGGCTCCGGGCTAGCTAAGCGGCTCAGCGGCGGTTAGGGTCTTGTAGTTAAGAGGGTGCAAGAATGTTCGTGTGCCTGGCAACTAGTTCGCACGCTGTCTGCACAACAACCCTTCAAGAATCCATTCACCCATGCCATCGCCATTAGGTTGGAGACCATCCCGACTTAGGTTCCTTTTGCTACTAGGAGCAAAGGGCATCGCTACTAGGAGCAAGGAAACTACTAGTAGCTCCTGGCCTTACTACTAGTTACTAGGAGCAAGAAGCTATTAGGTTGGAGGCCATTGCACTTCAGGTTCCTTTTGCTACTAGGCCTCCAAACTAGCAATGGCCTCCACAAAAACGGACCCTCGCTTGACAGCTTACTGGGTGCCTCACCTGTGACCAAGGAGCCGGACCCTTCCTGGCACGAAAAGACACATGTTTGCAGCAACAGAAAGAAGGACAGGTCTAGAGAAAACATGCAACTGTATGCACGATGTATTACATGTATCTAAGAATATTGGAGATTTGAAAGCGGCACAGCTTCTAGTACAAAAACGTTCAAACCTCCGGCGCTTCCATTGCAAATACCGGTGGTGTGGCTTACAATGGCCAAGCCTGTATACCTATCTGTGTTTCTCTGCATGTTGTGCATGTTCTTCAGACCTTTCTTCCGTTTTGTCCTCTTTAAGATCTGTTTCTTCTTTCTGTTCTTAGTACTAGTAGCGATGGATGGCCACCAACCTACTAGCGATGGCCTCCAACCTACTAGCGATAGCCTCCAACCTGCTAGCGATGGCCTCCAACCTACTAGCAATGGCCTCCAACCTACTAGCGATGGCCTCCAAACTACTAGCGATGGCCACCAACCTACTAGCGATGGCCTCCAACCTACTAGCGATGGCCTCCAACCTACTAGCAATGGCCTCCAACCTACTAGCAATGGCCTCCAACCTACTAGCGATGGCCACCAACCTACTAGCGATTGCCTCCAACCTACTAGCAATGGCCTCCAACCTACTGGCAATGGCCTCCAACCTACTAGCCATGGCATCCAACCTGCTAGCGATGGCCTCCAACCTACTAGCAATGGCCTCCAACCTACTAGCGAACTAGCAATGGCCTGCAACCTACTAGCGATGGCCTCCAACCTACTAGCGATGGTCTCCAACCTACTAGCAATGGCCTCCAACCTACTAGCCATGACCTCCAACCTACTAGCGATTGCCTCCAATCTACTAGCAATGGCCTCCAACGTACTAGCAATGGCCTGCAACCTACTAGCAATGGCCTCCAACCTACTAGCCATGGCATCCAACCTACTAGCCATGGCCTCCAACCTACTAGCCATGGCATCCAACCTACTAGCAATGGCCTCCAACCTACTAGCGATGGCCTGCTAGCGATGGCCTCCAACCGGCCTCCAACCTACTAGCGATGGCCTGGAACCTACTAGCGTAGCTTTTGTGCATTTTCTTGAGACCTTTCTTCCTTTTTGTCCTCTTTAGATCTGGTGTTTCTTTCCTTTTTGGGGGTACTACTCCTTCTTTGTGCGAAGCTCACTTGCATTTGGCTCCAGCCTCACAGTGTTCATTCTGGTTTGATTGAGTAGTTCTGCCGCTTTCTTTGAGGACAATTGATTCCCTTGCCCTGGAAATGCCTTCAAGATGCAATTTGCCAGTGCTTCTTCGAGCTTGGTGAGGAGACAGGAGATCATATTTACCGGTTGTTTTTGTCCTTGTCTTCTTCAGGTTTTATCGATTTTACTGGGACATTTGACCTTCGCTATTAGGGGCTCCTGGCCTTACTACCAAGAGCATTCTCGCTACTAGGGGCTCCTTGGCTGAGGATTTTGGGCAGACCTTTCAGGGCTTTGCTGACCTGGCTTGCCATGCCTGCCGCTTCGTGGATGCGTCACACATGGAGAGAGAACCATCGCTATTAGGGTGAAGGGCCATCGCAGGTTGTAGGCCATTGCTATCAGGTTGAAGATCTCTACAGGATTTATCGAGAGAAGTACAGAAACAGGTCGAGGTCTCTAGAAGAGAACTATCAAAGCTGATTTTGGGTGCGTGCCGCCACAAATCGACACACATCACGCGACACATCATTACGCTCATCACAACAGCATGAGGCAAAGGTAAGCCAGGTAAGCACTCAAAAGAGAAAACTTTCTTGAGAAACCAATACCCTGAAGCGTAGGAGCAACAAAAAGTGTAACCACTGTTGTCTTTACCAACCTTTCCTACCTTCATCTTCCGGTTTCAGGAAGACCCTTGACAGCTCCACAAATCGAGGAAGAATCATAGAGATCGTTGAAAGCAAAAGAACGTACTAGCGATGGCCGCCTCCACCCTGCAATGGCCTCCAACCTAATAGCAATGGCCTCCACCCTACTAGCGATGACCTCCAACCTAAGAGCGATGGAGATCATTGAAAGCAAAAGAACGGCCCTGCTCAGAGTTCGGCCTTGACTTCCACGCGACCTTTGCACCATCCGCCTTCTTTTGTACTAGCAAGGACCTGACGCAAAGCGCTCTATGAGAGTTTGGTGAAGGGACTGTCTTCTCCGTCTTGAAGAATAGCTGTTCTGTTCATGTTGCTCCAGATGGGCGTGTTGGACATAGGGCCGAGTTGAATCTGGGAGTCTCGCAGCTTTACTTCGGCCAAGTGTCATTGAACTGAGCAAATTCAGCTGCTTGAAGAAATAGAACAAGAGTTGTTCAACCTCAGCGCTGACATCGCCTAATTCGTGGGGTCTCAGCCTACGTCGCTAAAAGAATCATGAGAGTGTCTCCATTCTGAAGAGAAAGACTCGAACAAAAGAAAAACTGTTCACGGCCATACCAATACAAGGATTCCCAAGGAAGCTTCCAGTAGGGAGGAGGGGGAGCGGGCAAGAAAAGATAAGCTTTATTGCTACTACAGGTGAAACGATTCCCAAGAAAACTACAAGGATACATAATCATATCTATATCGCTGCTAGGAACAAAGGGCATCGCTACTAGGAGCAAGGATGCTACTAGGGGCTCCTGGCATCGCTACTAGGAGCATTCTTACTACTAGTAACAAGAAGCAACTAGGGGCTCCTGGCCTTACTACTAGGAAAGGATACATCTACTGTCTTTTCTGTCTTTCCTCTTCCCTTCTTGCTCACAGAAACACGTCTAATCTTTGACAAAAAGGAGGGGAATCTTAGGTCGCGCAGATCTTGTGGTCGAAAGATCAAGGACGCTAGTAGTAACAAGTGCCACGCTAGTAGTAACAGGTGCCTTACTAGTAGTAACAAGGTTCGCTACTAGTAACAGGTGCATCGCTAGTAGTAACAAGTGCCTTACTAGTAGTAACAAAAAGCTATTAGACTTGTCACTTGGCTTTGATGATGCTCTTCTTTGCAAGAAGCGTCTTTGTTGTTAGTCTTTCTCTAAAGTGTTCCTCTTCTCTTGTTTTCTTTGAACCTTTCTCTTCCTTTCTAGATTGGAGGCCATTGCTAGGTTGGAGGCCATCGCTACTAGGGAAGCCATTGCTGGACTTTTCTCATTTCCTCTTCTTTTCTGACTTTTCCTTTAGAAACAAGGACGCTACTAGGAACAAATGCATCGCTTCTAGTAACAAGTGCCTTACTAGTAGTAACAAGAAGCTATTGTTTTAATTCTAATTTAATTCTAATAGCTTTTTGGTGCTACTAGTAAGGCACCTGTTACTACTAGCGTGGCACTTGTTCCTACTAGCGTCTAATTGTTCCTTTACGTCCTCGTTTTCTTTCGTCTCGATTCAAATCGGGTCACGGAGGATCCTGGGAGTTGCAAGGCCAGCTGCAGGGCCTTGGTCCGCGTTTCTTCGTTTTCGTTCGACAAGAAAAGAGTGGTTCGTTCGAATCAAGAAAACCAAGAGAATGACTATGAGAATCCAGTTGCTTGAATCACTACTAGGGCATTACTACTAGGAGCAAAGGGCATTGCTACTAGGAGCAAGGACGCTTCTAGGGGCTCCTGGCCTTACTACTAGGAACAAGTTGTTTGCAGTTTGTGTAAAAACTTTGCAAAGCCGAATCGTGAGAACGAACCAAACAAACAAAGTCTGATTAATGACAGGCTGCACTGTAAGCCCACGCGAAGGATGGCAGACCACCCTGCAAGTTGTGCAGTATTTGGCAGTCACAACCACTGCCAAGAACTTGACTACCCTGTACTACTACCTCAAACTGTAATGCTTTGAAATCTCTTCTTGTCTTGTGTTCTTTTTTGAACTGTCCGACCTTTCTTTTGTCCTTACTCTATTTTTCTGCCTTTCCCTTCCTTCCTTGGCTACTTCTCACAAGAACTTTCTAGTTTTTGAGCACGAGTGAAAGTGGTCCAGGAAGTAGAACGAGGGAATACGACATTCCATCTCTATTTCAGTCTTCAACCCTTGAAAAAAGAAATGAAAAAAAATGTCTTAAGGTAAGACATAAGAAAATGTTCAAGAAAAATAGTGTCAAAGGAAGGAAGATTGAAAAATAAAAAACAAAAACTTTATACTCCAGTTCTTCTTCTTGGTCGACTTTTTGTCAGTAACACTAAGGGCCCGTTGGGCCGAGTCGGCAAAGTCCGTAGACCGAATCCATGCTCTGTGGAAAGTCAGCGGCTGGGCTTGACATGCACACAGCCCTGTGGGAATGAGTTCTCTGTGAAGAGGCCATTAACACCTAATAGCAATGGCCTCCAACCCAATAGCAAAAGTACAAAGTGTGTTGTTCCTTGTTTAAATCCTTTTTGTCGATTCCATCTCATTCCAAATCTGCCTCCGACCCCACTGGAAGTCCACGCTGTCGCAGCCAGTACCTGAGAAAGGCACCGATGCTATATGCTTGTTTGCGTCAGCCGCAGTTCTTGGCAATCATACCAAATAGTAGCGATGCCCTTTGTTCCTAGTAGCGTGCTTGCTCCTAGTAGTATGGCCAGGAGTTCCTAGTAGCGTCCTTGCTCCTAGTAGCGATGCCCTTTGCTACTATTAGCTTCTTGTTCCTAAGGCCAGGAGCCCCTAGTAGAGTCCTTGCTCCTTTCCAAAAAGTGGCCACTTTAGGTGAACTACGAATTCTATTTTTAGTGAACAACAGGAATGTGAACGCATCAGTATTAGAGCTTATCGGCAGTGTTTTTAATGTATGGTTTTCTATTTATGTCCTTTTGTGTCCTTTGTTTTCTCTTCCGTTATACTTGTTCAAGGTTCTATTCATTAATGGTGCCTTTTGTTCTTTAGACCTTCCTTCCTTCTTGCTGTCCGTCTTTTCTTTTGTTTCTGTAGGCCTTTCTTCCTGCTATCTGTTCAATGAAAAAAACAAAACTGCTTCCTGTGTGATCCTTCTTTCTTTAGACCCTTTTTGTTGCCTTTGTTTGAAGACCGTTCTTCAATTGGTTTTCCTTTTCACCTCATTTAAAGACCTTGTTTCTTGTGTCAGATCATTTGTTACGTGTGTGTGTTTATTGTTTTTCCTATGGAACCACCAGAGCTTCATGGCTTCAATGTGGAAATACAGTTCATCTGGTTTTTGCTCAGTCTTCCACAAGTACAGTTGCATCTGATATGGCAGGGGTTGTATTGCGAGCCCTCTCCCAGATCTACTTCACTACTTTTGGTGAAATAGACACATGTAGCGAGTGACATGTGGTACAAAGCGCGGATCACAAGTACCATGCCCGCGACAACTTCCATTGGCAAGGACAAGCGAGGTAATTGATTGACCACCGGTTTGAAGATAAGACCTACTAGCAATCGCCTCCCTAAGAGCGATGGCCTCCAAGCGACCTCAACGTGCCACCTCTAAGATCATTGAGGTCAGTTCAGCAGGGTCCGTTGGACGACCGATCAATGAAAAGCGCTGGATGCAATATGTATCCCCCAGAAAGCCTCGCTGAGGAGCTGGAGGACTATCGCAAGCAACTCGTGGCTGTGGCTGCCCCGCCAGAATGCCCGACGGATGCTTCTCAAGGAGAGCCGTCTCTCTTCACCCCGCTTGTAGGGGTTCCAATGGAGAACTCGCTGGATCTTGCAGTTGTGTGGGCCTTGTACGGTACACACATGTGTCATCAGTTCTGGCCGATGTCTAGTTGTGTGAACACGGTCAACTGTGGTGACCGGGAACCAGCGCCGGTCAAGTGGCCAAAGCGGGCCCACCCAGGAGCTCTCACACAAGCTGGGCAAGAGCGCACACCATGGCTCACAAGTTGGGCATCGAGCCACGTTCGAGCAAGGCTGCCTGTCAGTATTGCCTCATTTACAAGGACCCTGTAAGGCGCTCTCGTTGCCAGGCGAACATCTCTTGGCCAGTCGAATAGCGCCGGACCGAATGCGCCCAATCATTTTCCATGCCTTTGGCAAAGCGAAGCTGGATGCGCCGCTCCAACTTGACCGATTAGCTGACCAAGGTTGGGAAACCCTCCCTATTGCGCTCTTAGGTATGCCGCATTGTCCAGCCGTGTGGATTGGAGGGTGTTGTTTCACAGGGGGCCCAATTGCACTCACGGGAAACAGTGCGTTTCGCTTCTGCCTGCTTCTGCAATGGCACGCTATAGTCGTCCCCCCGACGGCACTATTCCCGAGAAACCAAATCCTGAAAAGTTAGATAAGGGGACTTGAGTGCCTGTAGTTAAAGCCCACGGTCGAAAGTCACGAAACGACGGATCGATAAGGTGACGACGGGGCGTGCAAATCTATAGGGCTCTGAAGGTCCAAGTATTCTAAGGTAATTCGCCGCTGCATTAACCGTTTATTGCATAACAAAGAATGAATTTTTGCCGTATTTAGGTTCTCAAAAATAAATACGCCAGATTGGTCAGACCTGGCTTCCACCATTACGCATAGCTTTATGGCCGACGAGATCTTGCACTTCAAACAAGGTGACTGGTACACAATCGTCATCAACAAGTCCAAAGTGCACTTTTGGGAACAGAAACCTGGCAGCCTCCAGCACAAAAAAACCCGGCCCAGTAGTAAGGGACTGCATGTAATCCATTTGCATTGGTTGCCTGTATCCACAGGATGTCAGTCTTACTCCTGCTGTGGGCCAATCAGTGCTCTTCTTGAAGACCACCATCGTGCAAACACTGGGAAAACTCCCTGGGCCAATTTGAAGGGGACCGGAACCAGAGAGGTTGCCTGCTGACGAGCTGTCTTGTCCGCTGCTTGATCAACGCCCAAATGATCCACAACAGCCACGCCGGCGCTCTTCGTGCTGGCAGGAAGTTGCCCTGCAGATAGGCATCCCTGTGGTGCACGAAGACCTCACTGTGGACCTCCGAACCATGTTCCAAACAGCCACAGTTTCGTTTTGCTCTTCGCTTTCGCTATTGGCCCCCATCAGTGCTCTCTCAGCCATGGCCCCGAAGGCCGGCCACAGGTGGAAGTAGTCTTTCGTTTACGATGCCTGAAGGCAGTATATGGCTGGTCCATATGGCTGATCGACGCGTAAATTGTGAATTTTAGACCCTTTGACCTTTATACAACTTGAGATCTGTTCTTCTTTTTAGTTTCTTTAGACCTGTTCATGTCTTTTTTTGCTTATTTTGTCTAGTTTGGACCTCAAATTCTCGACCTTTCACCTTGCACCACGCCGCACTTCACTAGCCGAATGAAGCGCTTCACCTCTGGACGGCCTGCAGGTTGAAGTCTTGAAACAGAAAGAACACAAAAGAAAGAATAAAAAACAAGAAGAAGTGAAAAGGATTTTTCAAAAAATAGAAAAGACATCAGAATAGGACGGAACTGCATACACTTCACCACAGCTTCGGTCACAGAAGCTGATTCGTCCCAAAAGAAAAGCATTGCGTCCAAAGAATTTCGATGCCGGGCTCCACCTTCCAAGGCATCCACAAGCAACTTGCGATGTTCAAGAGCATGAAGCTGATCAACCACCACCTCAGTGATACGCACTTGGAAATCACCCGGTGGCAGCGCTCGAAGCGTCTCTCCCAGACTCTGACTGGGCTCGCCTAGTAGCTTCTTTGCTCCTAGTGGCGATGCCAGGAGCCGATTATTGCTTCTTGTTCCTAGTAGCGATGCCCTTTCCTCCTAGTAGCCTTCTTGTTCCTAGTAGTAATGCACTTGTTCCTAGTAGCTTCTTGTTACTACTAGTAAGGCACTTGTTACTAGTAGCGATGCACTTGTTCCTAGTAGCGTCCTTGTTCCTAGCAGTAAGGCCAGGAGCCTTTGCTCTGGGGCTCTGAGCATCGCAAGATAAACCAGCTCGATCGTAGAGACGAAGAAGTGGGACTTTCCTGACACGTCACTGTCGCTCTTAGGGAGGCCATCGCTACTAGCGTGGAGGCTAGAATACGCTTCTTTCCAAGTCATTGCAAAAACTGCTAATTGCAAAAACAAGTGCCATACTAGTAGTAACAAGTGCCTTACTAGTAGTAACAATAACTCTCCAATAGTGTCTTACAACTTCGTCCTTCACTGACCCGGAAAAAAGAATCAAAGACCAGGAACGCATTGCAAACAAGCTCAAGCCACAAGCCTGGCCATTTTGTGTCACTCAGTCGCGGCATAAGATCTCGAAACGTCCCAGCCGCCTGCCTGTGGACTTCGAAGGTGTCCCATCTGTACATTCAGGACTTAGGTTGGAGGCCATCTCTATTGAGTTCCTTTTGCTATTGTTGGAAGCCATCGCTAGTAGGGTGGAGGCCAAGCTCGGACTTCGGTGTCCCATCTGTACAGGCGGAACACGGACGCCGACGGAAGAGCGTCTTGAGGCGTTGAACAGGCCCTCCTCGCAGAACGCAAGGCTGCAAAGGCCCAGCAAGGCTGCTCCCTCAGATGTTTCGAGAAAGCCAATCCAAACCCTCGTAGAGGCCATCTCCTGTTGGGACCAAGACCAAAACAAACAAACAATTTTGTTTAAATATAATTTCAACAAAATTAAAGATCGAAGTTGGAGGCCATTGCTATTAGGTTGGAGGCCGGAGGCCATTGCTACTTAATTAAGTAAGGGAGGAGAGAAAAAAAATGAAAACAAGTAGTAACAATGTTCGCTACTCGGAACAAGTGCATCGCTTCTAGTAACAAGTGCCTTACTAGTAGTAACAAATAATGTTCGCTACTAGGAACATCTTTTGTCGTCGCCATCTCTCCTGTTGGGGCCACTGTGGACTGAATGAACCATGTCCGATTCATTCCGAGTCTGGGCAAGTCAAGCTTCTGCATGATCTCAGCTGCGGGCATTGCATCCTTTAAGTCTTGTTTGTTTGCGAGCACCAAGAGAGTTGCATCTTGTAGCTGCACTTCCTTCAGCATCTTCTCCAGCTCTTCCTTAGCATCATTGATACGTTCTCGATCAGCGCTGTCGACCACGTAAATCAGACCATCAGTGCCCTTGAAATAGTGTCGCCAAAGCTTCCGGATCTGGTCTTGTCCACCGACATCCCAAATATCAAACTTGATGTTCCTGTACTCCACGGTCTCCATGTTGAAGCCAATGGTTGGGACAGTGGTGGCCGCCTCTGCCAACCTTAAGCGGTACAAGATGGTGGTCTTACCAGCGGCATCGAGGCCAACCATCAGAAGTCGCTTCTCTTTGCCAGAGGCCAACCTGGCCCAGACCTTGCTGAAAAAGATCCCCATCTTCCGCCCAAGGCTTTGCCTTCAGGTCCGTGTTCCAAGCCTTCTTACTTGTAAATGGACGGGGTAGTCGGGGTACTCCAAGACCACGGCCTAGGTGAGACCTTTTGAATTCGAACCAAAACCATCACAGATTTTGCCGAAATAACGTGCAGTGCAACTCCTCACGTCTGAAGAAAAAACAGGAAGAAAGGATTGAAAACATTTAAAGAAATGAAATAATTGTAAACCTTATGGTATCAGGTTCTTTTTGCTATTAGGTTGGAAGCCATCGCTAGTAGGTTATTTAAAGAAGTAGTTTCTAGCACATGCCCCTACCCTCTGCACCCGCTGTGTCGCTGCGCGCAGGTGCCTTGCTTCCACCAGCTCCAAGCGTGCCCACGCACGCTCTCCCTGTGATAAGACTGATTGAAACTTCGACTGTTTTTTTCCACCTTCCAGCCTAGCCTTCGACTGCTTGCTTCTGCTTGATGTGTTTTTTCTACTTCTGTTTCTCAGGCCTCTCCCCCTCCCTACCTAGTTGAGCAGGCCCGAATTATTTAAATAAAGGACTACTGTAGTGTTCCAGCACTAATGATTTGGTTCCTAGACTTTGAAGAAAACTTCATAAAGTACGAACTTTTTCCTCTCAGTTCAAAAGCGGGCTGCGGGTGAAAAAGTCGATGACATGCACTATGATTCGTACTGCAAATTGTTCACACTCTCTTCTTGGTGGAATGAGCGCTGCTTTTCCTCTGCTAGCTCACTCCACCGCTGCTCTACCTCTACTCTAAGAAACAGCGTCCCTTGAGGTCTTTCATCTTGAATTTACCTCGTCTAGCATGTATTGAAATTGCGCTCTCTCAGCATCAACGACGTCTGCTTGATCAAATTGTCCTCGGTATACTAGTACTTCGCGTTGTCTTCCCAATCTGTTGATGTTGCCTTCAAGTCTACCACGTAGCACTTGTCTCTGTTCCTGTTCATGCTCCATGCTGCTTGCGCATTCTGGATTTCCATTTCTGAATGATGTTGATGCTGGTCCATCTGAAAGAACTGCCCCTTGACTCGCTGCTTGTAGTAGTATGTTATGTCCACTGAATTGTCCCTCTCCGCTGAATTCTACCTCTATCACTGTAATTTCAAATTCATTCACCTTGCCTGCGATGAATGTTCTTTGCGCTTCTATTCTCCCTTCCACGTATAGTGTCCACCTTTCTTCACATAGCCCTCTCCAGCCTGCAGGATTTCAACTACTAGAGAATAGTCCATCCGCCTCTTCAAGTATCCTAGGAATTTCTTTAGGTGGTGGAAGGACATAGTTGTTGGATTTGCCATTCTTGATGCCAAATCCTGGACAGCAAATGCCACGTCATACCTTTCTTGACAAAGGTTTCTCTCGTAGGTCGAAGATGGTCGGCTCACAGTTCTCAATCCTTCTGGCAACTGGTTTCGTCTCGGCTGAACTGCTCTGTTGAGTCACATTGGCCTGTTGTTGGCCAACTGTATGTGTAGTCACTGAACCTTCTCCTGGAAATGAATGGGATCTGTCACTCGAGTACTGTTTCTCCAACAGTCTCGAGCAAGGTGTCCGGGCTTCCCACTCACCTTCCTTTCCTTTCTGTTGTTCTCCTTTTCCTTTCTTTCCTTGTCCTTTGGCATCCTTACCTTTGCCCTTCTGGTAACCATTCTCACCTTGCCCTTTCCTTTGGCATCTTGACAGAGTCCATAGGCATGGGTCCTTGACAATCTGCACTGCTACTTGCAACTATTGAAGTAGCCCACTTCCTTTGAGAACGGTCCCATTGCAACACTTGCTCCCTCAAAGTTGGGTATTGAACATTGTCGCCACTAGTCAAGTTCAAGTAGGAGTTGAGCTGTCCATCCACGCATCTCAAAAGAATTGCAGATGTCAGCTCTTCTTGACTCGCTGTATCGTCTCCTCAAACACCTCTGCCAGCTTGAGAAGTTGAGTTGTAGGGCACTGTTCATAGAAAATGCTGGCCATGTAGCGGCTGCTCTCAAAAGCGCTAATCCTCTTGCTTTTGAAGTAGGTTTCAAGGCTTTCAAACTCCTCCAGGCATCAAACGTATTGCTGGAGTCCTCCACGGCTTTAACCAACTGTAGTGCCCTGCCCCTCATCAACGAAGCTAGCAATCCATACAGCTTGATACACCTTGTCTTCTCTGCTTTTTCTGCCAAGTCCATATCGAAGCTGTCATTTGGCTTATCATGAATCTTTTTCAAATCCTGCATGTAAGCCTCTAGGTGCCTCTCAAATACCCGTGACCATTCTCTGGACTCTTTGATCTCTTCCTCCTGTGACTTATGTTCCTCCAGCGGCTTATGTTCAAGTAAGCCAGGCTTCGTGATCAGCCTGACCAACCCGTTGTGTTTGTCTTCTTGTCTTCCGCCGCTTTCTTCACTCCCTCTACTGCTGTTGCTGTTGCTGTTGCTGTTGCTTGCGTACTCTTGCCACTATGTCCAAGATCTCTCTTATCTCATCCATTGTCCCAAGACAATGTTGCTCAACTAACACAATGTACGGTGTACAGAGTGCAGTTCACAACAGTTTGTCAACAGGTCAGCAGTTTGGGCTCAAAGGCCCCAAATCTATGGCCCAGACGCTCCCGGGATCGCAGTGACCTAGGGGCTTCTCTCTGGAGCTCAAACGGGTTTTCCCTTATCCTCGCTCCGCTACCATACGAACTGTTTCCTCTCAATCCAAAAGCGGGCTGCGGGGGAATTTGTCAATGACATGCACTATGATCTCTACTGCAAATGGTTCACATAAAGCCAATCTGCTGGGGACCTTTCTTCCCTGTTTTTGTCTCTTTCTTTGAACTCCACGCTAGTAGCGATGGCCTCCACCTAATAGCGTCCTTGTTACTAGTAGTAACGCCAGGAGCTACTAATAGCGTCCTCTTGTAACGATGCCCTTAGTTCCTAGTAGCATCCTTGTCTCAACATCCGCATCAAATGCGGCCTCAGCCTGACTTTCCAACTTCGTGAGCAAAGATTGAAGCAGCACCAGCGCCTCAGAGAAACGGCCAAGTCCGACAGGCTACGACTACTTCAACTCCGGCAAGAAATATGACAGGCCGGGAGGGGTAGGCCGCTAGTAGGCTCAAGTAGCTAAGCAAGTAGCTGGGGTAACTACTCTCAAGAAACTATTACAGTACCCAGAACGCAAAAGAGCTCGGTCTTGATTTCGTTTGCACAACTTTCGGACCTTTCTTTTTCCTTCCTAGCTTTCCTTCCTTTCTGGCTGAATTGAATATACTGGAGACCCGGCTGCCAAGGCTACCAAACAAAAAGGAGTGTGCGGTTTTCGGATTCATTTCTACAACAAGAAGCTACTAGGGGCTCCTGGCCTTACTACTAGTAGCGATCGGACGCTACTAGGGGCTCCTGGCATCGCTACGAACGGAGCAAGAGGACACTACTAGGCGAAGTAAGAAGGCATTGTTACTTGTAGCAAGAGGACGCTACTAGGAACAAAAAGGAGTGGCGCTCGTCGTAAATCGGTGAAACCTCGGAGAGCTGCCTGTGGCGGGTCCAAGTTCGACGACGGTGTCACAAGGACCTGCGCGGCAAAGGAACCCGTGCGACGCTACGATGCTACGAAGGGAGCAAAGGGCATCGCTACTAGCAAGGACTCTATTAGGGGCTGGCCTTACCACTAGGAGCAAGGATGCTACTAGTTACCTTAAGAGAATGTTTACATGTGTTTACATGGTGTTTTCGTTTTTCTTCAAACCCAAAGGCCCCTTTCTTTCCTCCTCCTTTGCTTTTTGTCTTTGAAAGACTGCTTGTTACTGAAAGCAAAGGTTTTTTTGGACGCCCTTTGTTCCTAGTAGCGTCCTCTTGCTCCGTTCGTAGCGATGCCAGGAGCCCCGAAGGTAGCGTCCAATTTCGCTCCGTTCGTAGTCATTCATCGATGCTTCACATTCTGCACTGACGCGTTGAATGCTTCACATTTAACACGACCACCATTTCAAACCCCTTCAAAGTACCCCGTACTGCTACCACTACTAGAATGCTGTTGAATCTCTCATTGTTTAACATTCCTTCCTTTCCTCCTTCCTTTCTTCCCTTCTTTCAACCTTTAGATCTTCCGCATTCTGTCCTTTCTTACCTTGTTCTTTGGACCCTGTAGAGCTGTCCTTCAGCTCGTGCAACTCTTCCCACTGCCAAATACAACTTTTCCCATGAATTCTCGAACACTCGTGCTTCGTTCACTCGTGGCACTCGTGGCTTCCCCGCACCAGGTCCAGATCAGACTGCGGAACTTCGCCACCCCAGGCCGTGCTGCCTACCACCTGGCAGTCGCGATGGAAGGCCGCTAACCCGATCGCTTCGTTCGTAAGGCCCCGGTCGCCCCGAACGTGGCGTCCTCTTGTTACTACTAGTAAGGCACTCGTTACTACTAGCGATGCACTTGTTCCTAGTAGCTTCTTGTTACTAGTAGCGATGCCAGGAGCCCGGAACGTAGCGTCAAAGCTCATGAATCCAAGCATTCTACATGCTGTCCCTGAAACTAAGCTCAGCCTCTAGAGAGTGGCCCGCAAGCGCGTCGCAGAGGCAAGCCTTGCAGGAGAAGCATGAGAAACCATGGTTTTTATCCAAGCAATGATTCAAGGACGCTACTAGTAACAAAGGGCATCGCTACTAGGAGCAAGGACGCTCCTAGGGGCACTCCTGGCCCTACTACTAGGAACATGTTTTTTTCGCTAAAGAAGTCAAAGCAAGCGCCTCAATGCAGCGCTTTAGCTGCTCCCTCTGAGGTCGCATGGCTTCCACCTCGAAGCAGAACGAAGCAGAGCGTCTTGGTCCAACGGTGCTCGGTTTGCTTTGCGCGGCTTTGGCCCGAGGCCCCGCCCGCCTCCCTTAGCAAGGAGGCTACTAGTAGCTCCTTAATTGAGAGACTACATGAGACTACCTACTTCATTGGATAGCCCCTAGCTAGGATGCAGGGATAGCTCACGCTAATTATTTGGTTCATTTAGGGAAACTGAACGAGTTCGAGCCTTCTTCTCAATTTGATCCATGATCGCAGTCACCTAGGCGTTTCGGTCTGTCTCTGCTGTCTGCTGCCTTGTGAGGCCAGAAGAAAAGAGGAGGTAGGCCGCCAAGACCGGGAGTGAAGGGGTTAAGGAAGAGGTAGGACAGGGAGGAAGTAGGTAGGAAGTATGTGAAGCAGACCCAGCAGCGAGAGAACCGTTCTGCATGGCCCGCGTGGCTCTGGATTCGAGAAACTAAGATACAGCTGCCACTGGAACTTGGGCCCACCACAGTTTGATTGTCCGCCTTCACTGAACCTAAGGGTACATTGGTACATGAGTTTTTTTTCTGTCAAAGCAAGCTGCAATGGGACAAGAAATTGGGAGCTGACTTGGAGGCCATCGCTAGTAGGTTGGAGGCCATCACTAGTAGCACGATGCTGCCATGTATGTGGGAGCTGACTGATTCTCATTCATTTGCGATTCTACGCGTCTGTGCGCTTCTCCAAGCAAGGCCCGAGCTAGTCGAAGCATCTGCCTTCGGACTTCCAATATGTGTCAAGAGACACAAAAACCCAGATCCAAGCCGTAGCGTCCTTGCTCCTAGTAGAAATGCCTTTGTTCCTAGTAGCTTCTTGTTCCTAGTGGTAGGGCCAGGAGCGCCCCTAGTAGCGTCCTTGCTCCTAGTAGCGATGCACCTTGCTACTAGTAGCGTCCTTGCTCCGTTCGTAGAAGGTCCAAGCCAGTCCAAGCCCGTAAGTCTCTGGCGGGAGCCCTCTGTGCATTTTGCACCAATCCTCAGGATACATCGATCATCCAACGCTCGACAAGGTGTCCGGGGTCTTTCCGAGTTTCCGAAGACCAATGCTTCACCTATTTGGGCTACTAGGAGCAAGGACGCTACTAGAAACAAGTGCCACGCTAGTAGTAACAAGTGCCTTACTAGTAGTAACAAGAAGCTACTAGGAGCAAGGATGCTACTAGGGGCTCCTGGCATCGCTACTAGGAGCAAGAAGCTACGAGGTTGGAGGCCATCGCTATGGAGGCCATCGCGACGCTGTCCTGGAGAGCTTTCATTGGAAGCCGCCTGTCAGACAGAGACTTCACGAAGAGTACCAGGAGCCAGGACGCTACTAGGGGCTCCTGGCCTTACTACTAGGAACAAGAAGCTACAGTGCTGGAACGTTCGTGCTGGAACAACATCGTAACGAAACAATGATCCAAAAAATAGAATTGTTAAATGAACATCTGCCTTCCACCTTCTGTAAGATCATCTCATTTAGAAGTGTCCGAACAATTCAATGCCTTTTTGTGGAGGGCAGCTTTCTTGAAAGCAAGAGAGAAAAAGGGCCTAGTAACAAGAAGCTAGTGACAAAGGGCATTTCTACTAGGAGCAAGGATGCTAAAGAAAAGAACGTTGCCACATCGCTACTAGGGTGGCGGCCATCGCAAAAAAGACGTCCAAAAAGACTCTTTAGCAGAACGGATATGGTAACAAGTGCCTTACTAGTAGTAACAAGAAGCTACTAGGAACAAGGGCATCTGAGGAAGGATATGGCCACTCTGTGGAGGTCCCCCCTCCACGCCTGTAGGGAAGGATACTCCACCTGAGCCGACATGCCCACTCGTGGAGGTTTTTCTCGAAATAGAATTTAAGTAAAACCTGTGCCATCGCTATATTATTGCTATTAGTAACAAGAAGCTACTAGGAGCAAGGGCATCGCTACTAGGGCTCCTGGCCTTACTACTAGGAGCAAGAAGCTAGGTTGGAGGCCATCCCTTCTAGCTTAGAGGCCATCGCTAGTAGGTTGGAGGCCATCGCTGCCGTCGTTCGTGCAAATCTGTAAGGCCACCTGTGAAGTGATTCCGGGCAAGGCTTTGTCCACGGGCACCTCACAAACACTACAAGTGCCACAAAAAGAAGACTACGATACAAGGCAACCCTTCAAGAGGTGATTGCTACTAGGTTGGAGGCCCTTGCTATCAGTAACTCAAAAGAATATTGCTTTCAATCTAAAGAGTTTGGAGGTCGGAGGCCATTGCTAGAAACACGTCAAGCAGCTTGGACTGCAAAAGGCCACCCATCCATCCTTACGTGGAATAGAGGTGGAACAATCGCCACAAACGCCACTAGCTAGCTGCCATAAATCAAAAACACTGGGAACTCCTTCTTTGCTAGTATAAGACCTGGAACATTGTGTTCCAAAAAGAAGATTGTTCAGAGAAGATGTCAAAATGCCTCCTTCCCTCTTTCGCAGCTCCCACCTCCTTCGCGGAAACGCTCTGTGCAACAGTGGGCTTACCTTCACGCCACGATTCGAACGAATCTCGAAGGGTAACTCGCCGCGCGTGGAAAAACACGGCAAAATGCACTCAGTTCCAAACGATTTGAACCACCAAGCCGCTGATCAGCAGTGTGTCTTTTGGATTTTCCCTGAGAGGTCTCCAAACGTTGCGCAACGTCTGTGCCAATACCCGACTGGGATAAAGTCTGCAAGAAACCTGTCGTCTCCCACAATGAAGCGTCTCTAAGCCACAAACCATTCCAGCGGCTTTGCCAGCTGGCATGAGAAGGTGGATCTGCTCTGCCAAAAGAGCGCGCCAATGGTCTTTTGCGGTAGAACTTTGCTGAATGTCGTCCGAGTTTCTTCCGCAATATGGTTGGGTTTCAACCGCTTTTTGTGGGCTATTTGTCAAGTGACGTAGTGCTTAAGAATCTGAAGCCCTCATGCCCCTCAGGCCCAAGCTCAAGTCAGACTGGAACATTGAGCCAAGCATGGATTTGCCAAGTTGGAACGACACGTTGTGCCACACGAGAAATAAATGCTTAATGCAACACACCTGCTTGAAGGCAATCAACACACAAACACAATATGTTTGACAAACTCTGAGGTTCTTCAGAGATTTGGTACGTTTACGGTCCATGGTCTTTATAAAAGGCCAGACCGAGAAAAACTGCCGCCACAAGGGATTTACATTTAGAAAGTGCAATTTCTTCTTTGAGTAGTTTACAACATGCTCCAATGAAAGACCTTTTCAAGCGGAGCCACCTGGTTCCAGACAGAATAGGGCCAAGTCCAACTCCAACACCAATCATCCATAATCCTTATGCCAGATTCAAAAAGGATATAATACAAAACAAGTGCTAGACCTCCTGCACGTTAAATCGCGCTCTCCAACAGATAAGTCAAAATCAAAAAACAAAAATATCATAGTAATATGAAATAAACTGAGTTAATCGAAAAATAGTGTTTAAAAACAAAACATAATCAAAAAAATTGCAAATATATAAAGACATCTATACTGAACCTATTCGCATTTTTACTAAAAATAACATGTTCCAATTGTTTTTCTTGTTGCATAACACCTATTTTTCATAGTTTAATCGATTATTGCAATATATCACATTCAAAGTGTCAATATAGCCATATTTTTGAACTAAATCGATTAGTTATATTTTAACGTTCCTGTATTTTTCATTGTTTAATTTCCAGATAGAATTTCTGAATCGAAAACACTCATTTTTCAACTTAACATTTCTGAAATTAAGGTAATACAATTTATCCTAATTCTACTTTTACCAGCTTCGAAGTTAAATATTTCATACTAGAGTTATTCCGCTGCGTCCAACAGCGGGGGATTACCGGGGAAGAGAATAGAAGATTGAAAGGTTGGAAGAAGAAAACAAAAAGGGTGGTAGCGGAGGAAAGGCCAACATAATGGCTAAGATATAGAATATTTAAAAGAAAATAGCGCACGTTCTTCTATTGTATGCCTGCGGAATTAGTAGGGTGCATGGGTGGAAGAGCCAATGAGGTGGTCCACGACCTTCATGCTGCAGCAAAGAATGTTTTCAACCTGTGGCTCCGACCTGCGCGATAATGTTTGGCAGCAATTTCTGCAAGGATCGTGTGATTGTCAGCAAGATCTGCGGATGGCGCACTGACAATCCATCCGAACCCAGGAGCGCGATTCTTTGCTGGAGTGCTGCAATGATTGTCGTACGATGGGGGTGGTTATGTAGACTCTGAGAAAGTCCTCCACTGTCCCCATCTGTGTATCAACGAACAAGTCGGAGGTGCGGTTCAACAGGACCTTCATTGAAAGTCCTTGTCGAGGGAACAGGTGCATCCTTGTGCTGAACTGCCCACGCCGCCACTCCTGCACACTCTGCTCGGTGACCTTGCCCCAGCGAGCACCTGCTCAAATCCTAATGCCTTAAAGGGTCGCCACCCTCCATGGCTTGCTGCAGACCAAACTGGATGTAACACTGTGTGCCCCATGCTCGCGGGGACTCCACGAATCTCGCGGCTCATCTTTGTGGATCCTGTGGCTCATGGTTGAGGGTCTCGGCATCGCTTCGACCGTGTTTGTTTCATGGATGTTTGCCCTTGCAGTCAACCTCCGAATGTAAAGAGCATCAGTCATTATATGAACCACTAAAGCGCCATTAACTACTGATTAGCGACCATGAATGAAACATTGTTTTACCAGCAGCTCACCATGGACGAGGCAACGGCAGTGCTCAGTCTCTGCAGTGTTGCGCCCTGTTCTTCCAACTGATGCTCTGTGCGCTGCTATGAAAAATCGAGGTTGATGATCCAACACCAACAACATTATCATCCACCTCATAAAACTAACCCGATTGCACGACCCTGCATAAACCCGGCCGCAAAAGTACCCAAATGGCAGTAGAGTGCTGGAGCCAGCAGATGAGTATTCCCGGTGACGGAACTGCATTCAAAAAAAATCAATATTTTCACACGCTCCTCCAGTTACTAGGTTCCCTGACTCAATCCAAGAAACAACTCGAAAAATGCAACTTAGTACTTAACACTTTTTATATTAGCCGTTAAATATAGAAACATAGAAGGTAACCAGATGGTAACACATTCTTCCACTTTATAGATTCGTTCGTTCAATCCAAAAAACACTTCAAAATAGGCAGCTCATAAAGGCCGTATAGATTTCTCACTATCACCAGCTATCTACTCATGTTTCCATCGACCTACGAGGAATCGAACAAGCGTCACGCTTTGCCTAGTGGTACAGCAACAGAGAGAACAAAATGAAAATTCCAAAAAAAAAACGATATGGACGTTAAGAAAAATCTTAAAATAGTCACCGTTTAATTCCAAGTTCATCCAAATATTTCGGATCCTTTCCGCTAAGACTAAAGCCGACAACCAAATATAAAGCCGCCAAAAATTAAAGTCTTCGCTAAAAATCCAAAAAATATTCGTAGATTTTTTGGATTTTTGACTTGGCCGAATTACGCGAACGCGCGCCCTTGCTAGGCCTTGTCGTAATAATATGAGTAATATCTAGATATAAAGGCAACATATTACTAAAGTCTAAATTCTACTAATAAACATAACACCAGCATCGACCCCGAACAGCAGCGGCAGTCGGAGCTTCCTTCTTTGGCCGATCCACTCCTGGCGCCAAATTTCCCAAGGCGTCAAACGCTCGCCGGATTGTTGTTCAGCATCCAGACACACCATGGGAGACAAAGGGAGACAAAGCAAAATCATCTCAGCCCAGCGTCCAGACATGCCATGGGAAACAAGGAAAATCATCTCACCCCAGCATCCAGACACGCCATGGGAGACAAGGGGAGTCAAAGGGAACAAAGGGAGACAAAGATAAATCATCTCAGCACAGCATCCAGACATGCCATGGGAAACAAGGAAAATCATCTCACCCCAGCGTCCAGACACGCCATGGGAGACGAGGGGAGACCAGGGAAGACAAAGAGCGGGAATCATCTTGGCCCAGCATCGTTTTTATGCAAGAATTGAGAACCCCTCACAGCAAAGCTGTTTGGGGAATTAAATTCGCGTAAATTACGACATCCATTATTGTATATATATATATATAATCAACGCGCGCCTCCGAACCTCAGGCCCTATCACTTTAGCTACGCGTAGTCGGCGATAGGACCGCATAGCCAAGGCCAACCCGCTACTAGTCCGATCTTGGCGTCATTCTTAAAAAGGTCTTGATCCTTTAATATACTTCAAAAAATTTCAAAATCCTCGAACAATTTTGTCGCAAAACGATGTCTCAACTGATTGACCTTTGATCAGTTGACCACTGTGCTGGAATGCCATATCATCAGTTCTGAGAATGGTTTCCAGCATGGGTGCCCATCGACGATTTCATCACGACAACGACCACCACGGAGATGTCATCCGGCTTTGCCCCTTGCCACCTTAGCAATGCCAAAAGGGTGAGAAAGATTGAGAAAAGTCTTGTCCGACTGCAACCAGGTCCGAGGGGCTTAGTGGTTTAGTTGGCATGGGGGTGTGGCGTGACGTTTCCCCAGATGATAAGGGATTCAAAATGGTGGAGGACAGTGCACGACACACGGGTTCAGAAAACGTTTTGGGCGCTCCGCCAGCTTTGTGAACTGCGGGCCATTTCCTGGTGAAGGGGGCCCTTGATTGGTTCTTGAGACAATGGAAGCGGGATTTTCCCTACGCAAGTTTCAACTTGTTTCAAGGCTGTTGAGTTGTGGCTAGCAAAACAGCAAGCCCCTTAAGGTAGTGGGGTTGGACACGCCTTTGCAAGCCCTGAAGATGTTGTTTCAGAACCGCGTGGAGATATCGTACCTGCATCTTGACTGAAACTCAACCGGTTCACAAAGGTCGAACTCCGAGCTCCTGGCCTTGCTACTAGGACTCCACTCGCCAGAGCCCAGTGGTCCCCTTGTTCGCCGTTGGGATCAATAAACTCAAGATCCACCGTTGTCCCTGCCCAAGCCGCCGTGTCCGTGCTCGTTCTGCGGCACAGCCAAATGGGACGCGAGCATGTTCGTCCTGCATCCACAGTGGATCAACGTGGCCGACAATTTTCGATTTATAGTTAATCGATTCGCTCGAGTCAAGGGAATTGCAAGTCAAGGGTATGACATTTGCTGACTTCTGACATCCCCATATATAGTATAAAACAACTACACCAAAAAAAACATTGGCAAATTTCTAGGCGGTCATTCCTATCGGGGTCCATAACTGCTTCCCTGGGATGCTGGTCATTGACAGATGTCATCCCTGGCACAGATGTCATCCCTGGCGTGACACGATGTCATCCCTGGCATGACATGATGTCATCCTGGCGAGACATGATGTCATCCTGGCAAGACATGAAGTCATCCCTGGCAGCGTAGCTGGCGTAGCTTCTCCATTGTAGTTGCGCTACCCCAGGCTTTAGTTGCACTTCCAGCTTGCGGCTGACCTAAATTTAGAAGCTTGGAGTGGGGGCTATGTTCTATAAAGTAGATGTATGAGCCCTTCACTGTCTCTCAAATTGCCAAACATGGGTTGTGTGAAATTGCTTATGTGTATAGTATACATAAATACACAAAAACATGCCTTACACTATATAAGCAAGTGTCACCTGACGCCCCTATCATCCCTGATTATTGTCGCAGATGGACTGTTGCAACTGCATGCGTGGGTTGGGGGCAGGTTGAGGTGGGGTGCAATGAGGCTGTGGTCGGATGGTCCAGCGCAATTGGCTCTGGCACTGCCCTTTTTGAGCAAAGTTAGCCACCAATTTCCCTCCTC